GCTGTTACAAACAGAACAGAGAAAGCCACAATTTACTCTTTCACAATCAAGAAGTGAGACTTAGTGTCAACTTAAGTCAACTTTCAGCAGAAAAATGTGATTATTTTTCTGAATAAAATCTTTAAAAGTTAGTATTAACACATAGTGGTGTGTACACCTGACTTACCTTTTTAGCATTGGTCAACACTAGGTTCTTAGCAGAAGTCTTCTGCTTGAAAGTCTGCAAAGTGGGTAGAAATGGGATGATTACGACTAATGAACCTGAGCACTGAACTTTTCACCAAAACTTTTGAAGATTCATGAGCATTCATTTTTGACCTTTTTTTTTTTTTTTTAAATCATGCATACTAACCTTGGGGATCTCCTTTTTGGCAATGGTGAGCCAGACCTTACGTCGCCGTGCGTTCAGCTGCTCAATGGTCAGGTGTTTCTTCTTCACCATGGGAAGCGGAGCATCATGGGAAAACTTGGCAAAGATCTTGGTCACATAAGGACGCCCCTCTTCTAGAAACTCTCCCTCTCCACGTTTCTTCTTCTTCTTCACCTTTTTCAACTTCGCTGAAAAAAAAAAAAAAAAACCCACAGTAATGTAAAAATTGAAAGTATCCCGTTCTTTTTCCTCTGCTGTGATGATATGATAATGACTCCAGGAGATTCCAGAGATTTCTTTTTTGTCTTTACCCTTGAATTTCTTCTCATCTTTGATCTTCTTCTTCTTTGGGCCCAGTAGGTGGCGCTGTTGCTCATAGAAGGGGTCATGAGTGGAGAGGAGTCCGGTGCTGTAGTACTGATACTGGTGAAGCTGCAAGACAGATATACACAGACAGAAAAAAATACAATGATCACATTTCAAAAACGTATGTTTGATGTACTCTAAATATTTGTATGCACTGTATCTATAAGCATGTGTACCTCCCGGTCGGAGTGGAATTTGCTCTGATGCTGCCGGGTGTAGCGATGTAGCCTCAGCATGTCATGCAGCTCCTCCCGAGATAAACTGAAATCAGAGTCATCGGAGTCTGTGTCCGAGTCTGTGGTGTCATCACTCAACAGGATGCTCTGCAGGAGACAGAGGACGAATGTGGTTAAAGGAAGCTGAGGGTAGTAAGTAAAAAAGGGTGTGAACATAGCAGTAAATGTTGTTGTACAGCAGTGAAAAACATTAGGATTGGGTTGCAACTAATGATCTTTATCTGTTAATTTATTGATTATTTGTTTAATTTATCAAACAAACTGAATACTTAACTCTGCAGTGTGATGTGGAATATGTTAATAAAATACCTTGAGCCATTTCCTATTTTTCTTCAGTTTGGAGAAATTGTAGAGACTTGTTTTATCTGCCTTTTGGTCTGTGGGGTTTAAAAGAAGAGAAAGACATCACACATATGATCTGATAGAGTGAATGAATATGCATTAACTATATCTACCATGACAAGGTAAATAACAGCAGTAAGGACATTAATATGTAGTTATATATGAACATTAATAAAAGTCTTTCTGTATGTATCTTACCTTTACCTTGCAGCAGAACTCCGTTGAGGGGCTTACCCTCTGCCAACCCATCCGCCTGCTCACATGACTCACTCTTCACTGTCAAAGTTGTATGTTGAGTGGAGTGGTCCAGGGATAGTCCCGTCCCCAATGCACCATCGCTGTCATCACTGTCATCACTAGAACATAAGAAATATGTAGCTATAAGCCTACAATTTGCATCCTGTATCTAACATTTATTCTTTGGATGTGTATCTGGTTGTACAAACACTGTATCCATGACAGGGGGGCAGAACGTTAGGTAATACTGACCTGATCAACTGGATGTAATGTAAGACAGATAAGAGTGCAAGTCACGCTGAAATTTTGCTTAATTTAACAGTACGGTTGGTCTACAAATAGGATGGAAGATCACTAAAATGCACTTTTGATCCATTTAGCTGCAATTTGTTCAGCTTACAACCCAGTGACAACAAAATTGCATTTACAGCATTAATCCCTACATCCAAGCAGGAGCTGACTTTAAACTGCAACACCCACTGAAACCGATCCTAGAATGAGCCCTGGAACAAACCAGTAGCTGAGTCAGTGAGCTACATCTGTCTGCCCACCCCCAACTCCCCTTCTGCCTGTACCTGGTTATGTCTCTGTTGAAGATGGTGGCAGTCTGGCGCAGGAAACTGTCCAACCTCAGGGATCTTTCTAAGCGTTGCAGGTAGAGAGGTTTGGCCAGGCCAGAGCTCCCTGATGCCCCAACCTCCAGCCGGCCACCCTGCCCTGATGCCATGCAGCACAGACACCTCTGCCCCAGCAGGGCAGGAATTTTTACTGAGGAGATAGAAAGAAAGGGATAGGCAAATGGCTCAAAGTCAGAGTGAACAGCACATGACACTGCGACCTATACGTTGAATAAGGCTTTCCTATTTTGTGGTAATTTAACTAACTCTAGGCATGAAGGTTCATAACGCATAAAAGGATTTGTAAGTTGCTCATGTGAAGTTCAGAAGCAGTTGCTGAGTTTTGCCTTCGTTTTCCCTATCCAATCACCACCCATATCTCAGATGTTGTCAAAGTAAAGAATCAGCCATTTACTCCTCATTCAATGGCTGGAATGAAGACTGACACCAGCTTATGATTCGTTGTTCAAAATACAGTATATACAGTGGACCTACCTTTTCAGTAAAGGATGTCATTGTTCTCATTCCAAGATTAATGATCAGACAAAGGTGAAAAAACCCTACAAAACACGAAAATACACCATCACACACTGATGTTGAAATGACAAGAGTGAAATTTCTTTTTATAGGGAACTTGCACGCTTTCACGTGTTAAGCTTTTTCCTTATAGGGAGTTTTCTATTATGCAATACAGACAATGTGAGTGTTCATGACTTTCAAATAAGTTAGTTTCCAAAAAAATGTGTTAATAAAAAAACAGCTTACTTCTCTATTACTATGTATCAATACTAAATGATCACTTCCATATGTATAATTTGTATACTATACTGAGGAAAGTTTACTAGCTGGTTCATATTTACTTTTTAGGAATATTTGTTTTTCCTTATTCCCCATTCTTGTATCTCATACAATAAAGATATGTTAGGCCATTACACAGCAAATTATTTTAATTCAGTTTCAGATCAGACTGGAGGAATGTATGTGTAAATAGTTTTAAATCATCAATTCATATAATGTCCAAGTTATTATTTTATTTGTAAGTGGATAGGAAACAGTTTCGACCGTGACATTGGTATGGTTAAGTTATACAACTTGTCCTTTGTAATTACCACTCAGACTTTCTGAGACAAGTTCATTGCCCCGCATGTAGGAAGATGACAAGAACTAAGCACAAGCAAGAATTTGGTCTTATTTTTAAAATGAAGAAAACCTGAGAGTTGTGTTATCGTAAATAATATTTATCTCCCTTTGCTATCATGTCGTTATGTTATCATTAGCTACCTAGCAAATCCGCGTTAGCATTCGCTAGGCTTTGCTAGCTAACCTTGGATGGTGCACTGGTTTGTAGCTTACAAGCTAACGACCGTTAGCTGCCTCGCTATATAAGCACAAGCAGCATTGCCTCCGATCAATGATAGTAAAGGGTCAAGGTGCTGGTATGCACATGCAGACAGCTTACTGGTTTAAGTAAAACACTATAAATATATCAGTTAGCGTTGGTGGTTGTTTTGCCTAACACCCAGCCTTGCATACAAGACGACTGCCCCCCTGCTACCTCTTGTCTAATGTAGCTTTTCACCATTAACGATAGCTTATGACATTCTAAGGCGTTTTGACTCAGACGTCCTCTCACACCATTAATATGAAGTATTCAAATCGACTCTGTCTCTTTAAGGCCACCACCTCCCTTCCTAAACAATGTATTAAGATATGATATTGGTTTAATGGCGATTCTTTAGCTGGTTTGTTGCCACAGCCAGGCCCTCCGCCCGCGCCTCTCGTACCCTTGTTGCGGAGACGAGCGGGGACTTGGTTGCCTGGTGAACGAATGATCCCCATGTTTTAATTCTTTCTCCCTCCCGGCCATCTTCCCCCATTGCTCCTTCGCCATAACAACCACCACGGAGTATCTCACCTTGGCCCCGTGTCCCCCTTTTCGTCTCTCTCGTCGCTGCTGCCGACTCTCGGTTCTCTGACTCCAAAATGGCGGTTTGAGGCGCCGAGCGAGTCTGTGAGCTTTGAGTCGGCAGCAACAGCAGAGAGGCGGCCACTTTCTGTTACTGAGAGAGCAGAGACACGACGCCATGGCGAGGGTACAGCAAGGAGCAGGACTTTTAATCAATCGCAGAGAGAGGGACGTTCGCTCGGCGATCTCTCCCAGGACGCGACTGTGACAAGAAATCACAACGTTATCTCTAGGTAATAGAGTGAGGTACACATCTACCATATAAACCGTTTTGGGTCATATAGGCGCAACTAATACGAACGTATCGACGAATTTCCGATGTTGATTAATAGGGTCTGCCCACTGCGAAGATTACCGAGCTACGTCTTACGTCATCAGAAGGAAACTCCGTTTTAGGTAAAGTGAGGCAGTTTGATCCTAACAAAAAATTGACAATTATAAAGTTATTCTCTGACTCCATGTGTTGACAATTAAGTCCAGAATTGTTTAGAAATTACAAACTTATTTCTATGTATAAATTTTACAACACTTATAGTAATTTATACCGGTAATGTGATATAGACCACATTTTCATCAGAGAATTCATGACGCTGGTAGGGATACAAATAAGGATGCTGTCACTGAGGCCCAACCACAAGTCTTTCTGTGAAATCACAGCTTAATCACAAACCATCAATTACCTTATTTTATCTTATGCTATATGCTTATGTCAATATGATTCATATCCTGCTTCGGCTCTTTTTCCAGCAAGCTATTGATGGTCTTCTGAGGGACTCTGATGAGTGGTATGGATTTCTCTCAGTACAGCTGATAGTTGAAATAATTTCTTAAGTATTTATTACACTTAAAACAACCAGAATAACCAGTCCATCAGTACTGACAAGCTTTAATGTGCCACAACTTAACTGCAAAACAGCAAACATATGAAATAACAGTTTGTTAATCTGTCTCACAGTAACACAGGGCTGTAGATTGGCATGGCTGAAATCAGCTTAAGAGACATTTATATTATTGTCTAAGTGCATGTTATGTTTATTGGCCCAAACAAGTGCATAAGCTAATGCAGTTAACAGATATATAGTGCAGTTATATCTGAATCCCTTTCTACCATTGTAATCAGAGGTTCAGGCACATGTATGTACTGTACAGCCCTGGCGTTATTTTACATGTCATTTAATGTCCACCTTTCACAAAATGCTCCCGTACAAAGTGCAAAGGTCTTTACATCAGCTTCAAATACTGCCTACAAAAGAAGTGTATTCTGTAGATAGCAACTGAAGCTGACACAGTTTTCAACAGTAGGCACTCCCAACAGGAAATCAGTATCACTGACTGACTGTCCTGTGGATGATATAGTTTCACTAACATACAGATAGTGGGCTGTCATATGTCTCTTTTTCACAATTGGAGAAGAGGCGGCTTCGTTCATAGCCAGCTGGATTTCTCCTCCTCAAATTTCAGTGGATCAATGAAAGGCTTGTCGATGGATTTGATCATCAGTTCGCCGCAGTACACGCACTCAGATGCAATGATGTCATCAATGTCTGATTTCATCTGCTCCCGGCTTGTGCCTGCATTGCCCTTTCCCAGGCTGGAAGTATCTCCATCATCCTTGGGCACTGGGCGGTGGCGTGACTTGGAGGATTGCGTGGTTGCAGCCAGCTTTTTCTGCAGCTCCTCCAGGCGACTCTGCTTGTAGGCCGACAGGTGAGGGGTCACCTCCTAGAAGGAAATGGGAAAAAAGAACATATGAGAAATATTACTATACTGAAGTTTTTACGAAATTTTTGAATTGAGTTGACTGATTTTCTATAAAATGGTTACCTGGAACAGGCAGTCATAGTGGAACATGTGTCCACACAGGAATAGGTAGAAGGGCCTGTTGAGCAATGGAAAGTCGCAAGCAGCACACTTTTCTTGGGAATCCACTACACCATATTTGTTCCTCATTTCTTGAATGTCTTCTCTGATGCGTTTAGCGCTTTCTGTAGCCTCCTCCATTTCCTGCTTCAGCTCCTCAATGTGCTGGTTGTACTCCTCCAGGGAGCTGCAGATGGCCTCCTGAGGAACCATGGTGAATAGATGATGATGTACAGTGACTACTTTCTTCAAAAGACATGCAAGGAAATACTCTGTTACTAACCTTAAAGTGGTCAATGGTGACAAAGTCTGGGAAGAAGGGCAGGATATCTTCAATCTTGAGCAGGTTGCAGCTGGACAGACAGTTCATGGCTTTCTTCACATCTTTCTCCTCTTGAACCACATGCCGGGCAATCTTCAACCAAAGCTTTTTCCTCAGTTCCTCATCATCCTCTGGTAGGTCAGCGCATGACTTAGCCAAGTCTACATCTACCTATAAGTAATAAATACACAATAAGTTAATGGCACTGTCAAATTTTGTCAAAGATAACAATTTATAATTTTACAATAATGTAGATGATAATCTGTACATAATGTTTTGTGATTATTTACTTACATGCAATAGTGACCCAAAAACCTGCATCACTTACTTGTAATGCAAGATCCACTGCCTCCTCATAAAGTTCCATGATCCTATAAACCAGGACACAGGCCCGGAGGTAGCCATGTTCAGCACACAACCTGAGAGCATACTTCAAGTCATAGTGTATCTCTGAGGCGTGTGTACCTGCCTGCTCCAGATACAACAGCAGAGAGTCCGGCTTATACTTAGCATAGAGTGACAGCAGGTAGTTATGGATTGCCTCCTCTGTCACATTGAGCTCGTACACACAGAACTCCATGTAGCGGATGGTTTCACTGATCTGCTGAGTACTGCCCATCTGGCTGTAGTTCATCAGAGCTGGGATGAGCTTCTTTGGGTCCAGCTTCTTGCCCATCTGAATCCACGCATCTACCACTTTTCTGGGAATATGCTGCATGAGGACGGGGGAGAACTTGTAAAAAAGCTTTTCATCACAGTGCTTGGAGAGCACCTCCAGAGCATCGCAGTAGTTATCATGTTGACAGTAGTGGGATATCACTCTCTCATAGTCCTGCATGACAACTGAGAAGTAAACCATGTCGTCCACATTTCCGTGGCTGGCCAGCAGGTCGTAGATAGTGCTGCGGTTGTTGAACAGGCACTCCTTGTGTTTAGGGCTGCTGAGGAAGTGGCGGAACTCATTACGGGTCTCCTGGAAGATGATGTTGTTACCATCACTCTCCAGCTGGCCAAGGCTGTTCAGGTAGAGCTCTGCTAGCCATGTGACCAGCAAGGTGATCTGCGTTCTCTCACTCTGTTTCAAATTATTTAGTTTCTTCAGTAAGAACTCCTTCAGGGCTTCCTCTTGTTTGGCTTCGATGAACTTGAGTGCTATCTCCTCAAAGTAGTTCTGTGTCAGCGCATAGCACTTGGCACTCTCCAGGTATCGCTTATTCTGGAAGCAGTGTTCAGCCTCCTTGGCCAGCACCATGTCCATGCACTCAGGCCGGTCACGGCAGTACTCCTTAGCCAGATCAAATTTATTCATACTCATGTACATCTGCCAGACGTCCCTGGCCTCACGCTGGATGTGATACCGGAACACTGCCCGCTCGGTGTAGATCCACACCAAACCACCAACTGGGTCCTTGATCATCTTCTTGAGAGGGCCGAATTTATCAGGGAACACATCCTCAAATACCACCTGTCCATTCAGAGTGCAGATGGCCTTCACTCTGTCATGGAGCAACAAAAGGAAGTGGAACTGTGTCAGCACAATGGAGATGGGCTTATTGAGATTGAGGTCGATGTCCGGGGTGTACTCCCATACCTGTTTAATTGTGAGGGAGGAAATATGGAGATGTGAAATTAGTAAAGGGGAGAACTAAACATTATTGAGATATCTGAACATTCCCCTACACAGACACTTACCTGCACATCACTCAGCAGAGAATCAGGCCTGACATAGTCCAGCTGACCATAAAGAACTCCATTACCCATCATCCAGGCAAATGCCTTAGGGGAGGTCCGCAGCTTTGAGGTGTAGAAGGTGATCTCGCTGTAGCCCATGTTAGCTGGGAACTCCTGGAAACTGGGCAGCAGGTCCTGGTTCTGGTTGAAGATGGAGCTGAAGCCTTGCTGCTCTGACCCCTCGGCCACTTTACCCACAAACTGGAACAGGCGTTTACGCGTGGTGGAGATGATAAAGTACTTGTTCTCCAGGCCACGCTCCACCTCCATGCAGCAGACCGGTACTGGCTTCCCATCCTCCTCCAGGGAGTGGACCTGCCTCAGGATAAGAACATGGTATTGTTTAGGAAGAAATAAATATGTAGGTCAGTATTTTCTTCTGTTTTGATTACAGTAACATGGACAAACCAAATAGTACCACCAAATATAGTATGTATAAAAAAAATGTGCATTTTTATGGCAAAAATAATGCACTCTCAGACATTCTCTGACCTGCCTGAAGTATTGGTCTGGATTGGTGTTGAACAGGCTGCCCTCATTTGCAGAGATCTCAGCCTCAAAGATGATGCCTTGACTGGTGCCAACCAGGATGGGTCCTGTGCTGGTCTCGTTGCCCAGCAGCTTGTTCCAGCCCACGCTCTCAATGAGGTGGCCTCTCCAGCGGGACAGACTGCGTACCTTCTGGGTGTTCCTGTTGAGGTACAGACACTCACTGGTGCTCAGGCTGATCAGCACATGAGAGCCTGCAGTGGGAAAATATGGAGGAGGATACGGCTGATGTTGTTAAGAAGTCATAACCATGACACTGCTAGAGCAATGTAATAAATAATGCAGTAGTTTCTGGGACATTTTACTTATTATTTATTCACTTGAAAATTAAAATAAAAGTAAAATTAAGAATAATTTTGCATTTATCCAAGCTAAGCCATAAAAGGCACACGTAACATGGCTGGTAACATTCCCATATATTTTACAAGAGAATACCCAACAATGACCAATATGGTAATTTAGTCATCTAATAATGGCCTATGGGTGTTGGTAGAAGAAAATCTGAATACTCTGAATTGTGGCTTTTCTCACCTGTGGGGTCTAGGAACAGTCTGTGCACTTTACTGTCATCTTTTCTTCCTAATTCAATTTGGTTAGGCTGATCTGGCTTGGCCAAGTCAATCCTGTATAGATAAGGACATGAAAACATTAGTATAAGCAGCAATAACTCTATTAGAGACTTCAATAAACAACAATAACAACAAATGAGTACTAATCACAGTGAAGAGCAGACATTAACTCCAACTCATCCAATCAAAATCAAACAAACACTAGTGAGCATTAATGCAGTGCTTATGATGTGTTATTTGCCTCAGCAGGGTGTCCTTCCCCAGACTCATGCAGAGCTGATTGTTGCAGACTGCAAGATGGTTTATCCTCTCCGGCGGGGTAAAATCGATCCTCTGCTTGTTGAATATCGGCTTCTCTTCCTCAAGTCTCACATTCACAAAGCCTAACGTGAGTGAACACATTTGTATCAATATAAAGTATTTATATAAGAAGACCGATCTGTCTGATCGTTAACGTTTATTACACATGTATGACCCCAAAGCGTATATTGCATGTATTTGATCAGTGGGAGCATCTCCTGAGAGGAGGGGGACCTACCTGAATGTGCTAACCCGATGTTGGTGCTTGACAAGCGGCTGTGCTGCTGCGAGCTTTGCCTCGTGTTTTGCGAGTCCTCGTACTCGTCAAGAATTGAAGCCATAGTTGAACGTACCTTATTTCTCCTTACTTCAATGCCTGCAAATAAATTCTCTCCAGTTAAAAAGGCTGAAAGCGTACAGTCAATTCTAAGACGACATGGCTAAAGGGCTAGCTAGCTATCACAGTTCCTCCTGTTCAGAGCTCAGAAGCGCATTTCCTCTCTGCGCAAACGTCTAAACTGAGAAGTAAAGTGTACAATATATATCACGCTACAGCATAACCACATCAATATATTACAATTCAAGCATTCCTACCTTCCCATTCATATCATAACAGCTAGCTTAACTTCCGACTGCACAACACAGGGTGGACTCGGATAATCAGGTGACACACGAATCATGTGATTCACATTTAGTGCAGTGTCTCTGTTTGACACTAGGGGGCGCAGTTTGTCCAAAGCAAAGAGCAGACTGGAAACCAACTGGTTTTGTTGTTGAGATGTTTGTATTATGAAGAACTGAAGTTTATGTAACAAATAAACTCATGTGCTTCATGACTTGTGACAAAACGCACTGTCATTTTATATTATTGTAAACGTCATCATATCTTTTTATTTATTAATGTATAATTTTTTTTATCGTTTATTAAACAATTAAATAACAAGGGAGTGTGACAATGGCATTGCAGAACAATAATAGATACAAGAAATTATATATATATATATATAATGAAATGTTTAAATGTAAGTTTGAATTAAACTTAAGTATGTAATAGTAATTTAAGTAATATAGTATCTATCTATCTATCTATCTATCTATCTATCTATCTATCTATCTATCTATCTATCTATCTATCTATCTATCTATCTAACGCTTTCTTTTCTCGGTGGGAGTGTCTATGCAAATCACAACCTGTCTGAGCACAAACTTGCCCTAGAACCGTCCCACCCCCCACATGTCGCCCGTCAGTCAGAGCTGGACAGGCTGCCTGGAAGTATGTGAGACACAGACCACTCAGCTGACTCTCAGTATCTAGTCTCACAGAGCTCAGACAGGAGGCAAATCTGCAATCAGAAGTTTCATGCGCGGCTCGACATGCCACCTCAGATGGATTACTTTTACCACGAGTCCCGAGTCCCTTCCGCTTGCGGGCTGACCCGGGAGGATGAGCTGGAGCCCGGTGTCATCAGCTGTATGCTGATCGGAGACGGAGCCGTCGGGAAGACCAGCATGATTGTCAGCTACACCACCAATGGTTACCCGACAGAGTACAAGCAGACAGGCTTTGATGTCTTCTCCGGTGAGTGATCTGAACCCATATTTTTCCATTAACACATTTTCCAAGGTCATTTTCCTGACCGTATGCTCCTGAGTGACATGCTATGTTTAAAATAGAGTGGTAGCATGTGTGCTGGTGTGATGTGTTTGTTCAGAGTGGGGGTTATAGCCTATAGCTTGTATTATGGACTTAAAGGCAATACAAGTTAATATTGTGTGTTCTACAATTAAACAAGCCTGAATATATTCTGAAAAGATGTGTGTTGTGTTATGTGTACTTACTGGTTACTAATACAAGACTTTCATTTGAAAACTGGGCTTTTAAACTTTAAACATAAGTGTTTTTGTCCAATGTGAATGCCTTAAATGTGCTTTATGTGTGTGATTTTGATGTTTTCTGTCTTTGAAATATGTCTGAAATAAAGTGAACTGAATTGAAATTGACTGATTCATCTCTCTGGTTTCCAACAGGTCATGTCCAAGTAGAGGGATCTCCAGTTAAAGTTCAGCTTCTGGACACTGCTGGACAGGTAAGACCATTAGATTCTTTGTTTGTTTTTCAACAACAAATTGTTATGTAGACAAATACTGTCATGCTATTTCTACTGGCTGTTTATAGTATTCAATTCAAAGTCCCAAATTCTGCTGCTTTCTGGTGATGAGGTCATTGTAAACAGTGATAATTTGTCTATTACACACAATATATAGCATCAAATCCCTATTGTTAATACAATATACAGACTTTTTTACAATGACAGATGAAACTGTGTCACATTAATCCAATGTGTGACTCAGTAACAAGGTTTCACCATGCATTTTAGTGGACCGTCTCTTTCTGACACTTAAGTGAGTCAGCCCTTTCACTCATGTGTGTTCATAGTTTGATTGACTAACTCGTGCTTTCTGTCGTCATGTTCCATTTAGGAGGAGTTTGACGAGTTCAGGGCTCTATCCTATGCCCACACAGACGTCTTCCTCCTGTGCTTCAGCATGGTTAACCCCACCTCATTTCACAACATCACCAAGAAGTGGGTTCCAGAGATCCGGGCTTATAACCCGTCCTCGCCCATCATCCTTGTTGGGACCCAGTCTGACCTCTTACTGGACGTGAATGTCCTCATCAACCTGGACAGATCTAATGTTAAGCCAGTTCTGAGCTCCCGGGCCCGGAGCATGGCGGACAAGATCAGGGCATCAGACTACATTGAGTGTTCATCACTCACACAAAAGAACTTGAAGGAGGCATTCGATGCGGCCATCTTTGCCGCCATTAAGAACAAAGCTCGCAAGACCAAGAAGAGGAGGTTTTCTGACAGGCGCACCAAAGCTTTCTCCAGGTGCAGCTGGAAGAAGTTCTTCTGCTTCATCTGAACTCAGACTGTTAACCCTGTGGGTTGTGAACAAAACTTTTAATTTATTCAAAATACTTTCACTTAATGTCACAGGTCCCATCGGTGGTAGTTTAGCATCTTTCCCTGTTAAGTGTTTGGCTTATATCACTCTGGGATGCCCAATGGTGCAAGAGAAACAACATTGGCACAGTGAGCACTGGAAACGAACATCACTGGAGACAGCAGAGAGGATTCTGGGTCATTCTCAGCCAGGGTCTGGTCACAAGCTCCATCAGATAGACCCCAGGACAGCAGTGTTGTTTACATTTTATTTAAATGAATCATTGTTCCAGAGCAACAGAAGAACATATAAAAAAAAAGAAGCATGAATATTGTGTTGATGTGGATGCATCACTGGTGAGCCACTTATGAGAAAAGGGCAGTGAATTGACTTTAAAGGAGGTGAACGTATCAAGTTAACTTGCTGAACATGCAGCCACAGAGAGAGAGAGAGAAAAAAAGAAAAACAGGGCATCATGTAAATTATATGAATTTGCATGGTGAGCTTTGCCACCAACTGCAGCCTTTTAACGTCCGCGAGAGAGAAACGGAAAGTATCAGGGCTTTATTTGAGCAGATGGGTGTTAGCCACTTCTTTGTTGTATTCTTGCTGTCTGGCTGCACCAGCTTATTTATATGCAGCAGCTGCAAGTTCAGGTTGCAGTGCGAAGTGCCACATTCTTACCTGTGTGTGAAAGCTCCCCTGGCTGGTTTGGGTGGTTACTGACCCTCAAGTTAATCAACTAACAAACCTATCACACCTTACATTCATTTTGATTAGAATTTTATCAGGTCTTTTAACACTTATGAAAAAGAAGCACAGCAGGAGGATTTGTTTGCATCAAATCAGAAACAAATGTATTTCCTTTGTTTGAATGTTCAGATTGGCACAGGAACTTTTTTGAAAATCCTCTTGTGAAATGTGAAAGGTTGCCCGGGAACTCTAACCTTTGGCTTTTTGTTCTGGTCTCTCATCAATCTGCATCTGTAAAAGCAAGCACCGCAGGAGTCTTGACTTCCACCCTGCAGATCCTCCCACCACCTCCACCGTCAGCCTGGCTTTTTTTATACTCCCCTCTTTGTTTATGTGCTCAATACAATCCTTATCTCCTGAATAGGATGCTAAACAGCCCTCTGTGTGAATGGAAGTGTAGGTAATACGCATTTTTTTTTTTTAAAGAAAAAGCTTTTGTGTCTGTGACATTTGTACAGAAGAAAATCATATTTTGAAATGCAATGTGATGATATCTGGTGGATATACAAGCGTATATATTTGACCAGAACCAGAGCAAGGCTTTACTATGCTTCTTGTGGAAGTCAGTTTAATGTTTATTATATTCTGTTTGTTAAAACAGTTCATTTGTCATTTTTATGTTTATGAAATATCAGATAAGACATGGATTTTAAATGCATTTATGTACTCCATAAAATCATGTTTAATTTTGTATCACTGTCCATCTCCCTCTCTAACCTGTGTGTCTTTTTTTTACATGTCGCAGTCATGTGATGCAAATAAATGAAGTGCAAATTATAGCTCCTGTGTTATGTGTATTTTTAGAACAGCAATGTTTGCAGTTACATCTGATAGTAGCAGCTACTTTACATTCAGGGAAGAGTTTTCAAAAAGAAATGCATTGAAAAGCAGCAAGCACTGTTCTCTACAGGGAGTCTGAATAATCCTCATCACCACACCAGGTACCTTTCCTGAACCGTCTCCCTGTCCAAGGATATGATAAGTAACCTCTGGCCTCCAGCTGTGCTGTGGGGCAACCAATTCTAATGCAATCCACATGAGTGCTGATGGAGTCTGGCAGTGCCATGCTGTGACTGATTGCTTTGTGTGGTTGTGCCTTTTTCGAAAGGGCTAGAGACATGGGAGAGTGACATTCAGAGGAGACCGATTGAGTCAGACTCATTGGTTGACAATAAACAGCGGCAGTGGGTTGGTTTACTACAACAATGGAGTTGGCACATTGTTTATGAATTTTAACAACATCAATGACCTTTGAAAACTGAATCAAAAGGCATATGCTTGTTTTTAGACTGGGTCGGAGGAAAATGAAGTGGGACACAGTATTCTTTGTAAACAATCTGGGGTAAACGTGACAGGGAGACACGTGAAGATGGAGCATTGAAGGGGGATAAAACACTTGAAGACCTAACAGCTCTTCGGTGCATTTGTTCTGAGCGGGGTGAATGAGTCACATATGAGCATGAGGATTAAAAACATGCACTCACCCCAATACATTCGCAATCTGTTTGCCATTAGTCAGCGTGCTGTCCGTCACACAGTCATGTGTCAGGGTTCTGTTTGAACGCCTGTTATCAATGGGTTAAAGCAGGACATCATACTTCTCGGCCTAATGACCTCATAAGGAGAGGTCACAAGAAGGAGCTGCTGTTTTGTCATTTGACACCGCTGACACAAGTTGACTCATGACCTTTCATTTGACTCTCAGGGAGCAGTTGGTACCAGTCATGGCCGGTTGGAAAGCTTGATGCACTGACACGCTGAGAGGAACATGAAAAGGATGTAAAGCTGCTATGATCTATATTAATATATTAACGGTGGATCAAAAGACTATGTGTAATGTGAAAGGGGCCATTTGTAATGATGAACACAGAGAATTATCACACCGACTCTGCAATTGCCCTCAGTTCCATTGAGTGTTTTAACGTCTTTAAGCTTATTTTGGTTTCAAGGCCTGACTGTTTTGTTTCACTTTCCGGGCTCAAGCATAATTTCCAGACACAGATGAGAGCTGCCTGTTTTCAGCTAAAAGTTTCTACCTGCTCTGTACCAAATAGCAGACAAAATTAGTGGCTATCTTGAGAACATAGCAAAGCAGCTAGCGGCTAAAGAATCAGATATTTTTCTCAGCAGTTGGCTGAGCCACTGTTGGCTAACATGTTAGCCATGGAAACTTTATGAGGTAATTATGACGATCACTGTTGTGTTTACAGCTTGTTGCAGTCCAAAAAATCAAGTCATGCCATTTTTGTACTTTTGGCTTTTATTTATATCAATAGTAACAACGCCGTCTCTGCCAAGTTAATACTTGATCAGCCCGATATATGATCAAGTTTCAAAGTAACGCCAGGTTAGCTGAATTTATGTGACTATTTCTGGGGTGATCACATTTCATTTAATCTCCAAATAAAGAGGTCTAGATCATCTATACTGTTGGCTTGTTTACAACCTGTCTGATTGTCTGACTGCTTGTGTTTCTTTCCCCTGACAGACTGTGTTGTTGTCACTGTGTTCCCAGATTTCAGCAATTAATGTATTGAGTGCACTGATGTCCTGATTGATAGAAAACAAAATCATGTACAGAAGAGCAAAGTTGTAATAAACTGGAAATAGCATCTAAATGCTGATAGACAAAAGGGTTTATCACGTTGGCATCCCCTGTGTTTTGAGGGCAAATGAAAGCCGGGAGCACTACGGTTATGGTTAACATCTTGAAAGGTTGAAGCCCAGGGTTAAGACAGGTCGTGGGACTCCTTTGATAAACACACTTGAATGTCATGTCTTATTTATGACTCTTTTCCACTTTGAAAATTTTCCGTTCCCTCATTGAAAGGAAAAACATAGATGTTTTAGTAAAGTCATCTACTTTAACACAAAAAAATATCAAATATGAAAAATATTATTCAACAGTGCTGAATTCATGTGGTTATACATGCATCCATGATGCAAACACAGGCACTCATTCACGTTGTGCAGTCATAGTATACTCATTGAGCAATCATGAAGCCCACGTCGGACAGGTTTTAGGTTCCCAGGAGTTCAGTGAACTGTTTCTCCTCCTCCTCCTCTCTTTCTCTTCTCATGGTTAGTCATCTATGTTTCTCACATCCACACTCAGGGCTGGTCCTCCTCCCAGGATCCCCTGCTTTTTAGTGATTGTGTCAGGAGTAGTCAACCAGCTCTTCCTCTGGCTCTGGGCCAGTTTCACTCTTGCTGGGTTTCACTGTAGTCGAAGATTGGCAAGGAGGCCTGGGAATCAGCAGGTGCACCGACAGGTCTGCCTGGATGAGGACAAAGCCTATTGGCTCACTGCTGCTGCTTCTCGGTCAGCTAAATTGGCAGTTTGAACAGTTATGCTTTCGGGAGGACTTGGCATGGCTCACAGTGTCTCTTTCACACAGAGAAAAAAAAAACTCTCTGTTGTGATTTTTGTTGTTATTGTTGTATTTCCCTTACTGGCTGACCGTGTGTTTCTGAGAATCTGTGACAGGTGTGACATTATTACTGGGTGGCAATTATAAAATTCACGTTGAAGATGTTTGGTGATCTTGAAGAAATCACCAACTCAACATAACCCTAAAAAATTATGTTCATTTTGCCATTTAAAGATGAGCAAATTAACATTTTAAACAACACACTATTCTTATAAAGTGTATTTTTGCATACTGCATACTATTTCCCAATTTCCCATGTAATTCACTTGTACAGTTAATTTGCATAAAAAAATCCAGCCTGTCACTCACATTAAGGGTGCAAGTCTGTTTATTAAAAACCTTTCCATTGTGTTTTTCAAAACATAAACTGTCAGTTTCGGTGTCGAGCAACCCCAATGAGAATCGTCCTAGTTCCTAAGTGTGACTGTGCCTGGAGGCAACAACTATTACTTCTGTCCCACAGTTAACAGCTTTAGTTTGCCTTCATGAATCTGCTGAGTTCGTCATTCATGCAGTTGAGTAATACATGAAGAGGCTGATATGCAAAACACTCGCAAACACCATTGACAGACGTGGATAATTACAACCCTTTCCTCATTTTGCATTGTAAGACTCTGTAATGTCATATCCAAGGGCGTGAAATACACCTGAGCCATTCATAGAGTTATCAGATAGAGCTCTTTCTATTATACTGTATGTTGTCAGTTTTATCCTTAATCTTCAATCATCAAGGGACATAATGACTTCATAGTGAACATCAGTGACCACACATGATCAAAGCAGTGCAGAACTGAAGGGCATGCAGCTTCTGAGATGAGACAGCTGAAGAGTGCATTCAGCACTCAGCCAATGATTAGGACATTAGCACTTCAATCAGGCCTCACCTCAGGTCTCATTATGTTACTGACGACCTATAGACATGCTGGACATTATTTAGCTCTCCACAGCTCAGGACACAAAGGATGCTAAAGCTGTGAGAAAGTAGTGCAATCAACAGTTGTGACTCTTTATTTGCTTTCCCTGAATTCACAATCATACTGTGACACTTATTTGTTGTCTGGCTTTGCAGTGTAAGCACAAAAAACATAGACAATGAAACACCCAATACAGCTTCAGTACTATGCAGCACCAACCTGCAATGCTTATACAAGTACATGCTATAATGTGATATCCTGCAGAGGTACAGAAGAATCAATGCAGCAATAAGCAGCACACAATACTAGAAATTCTAGATAAACTAGATATATGTGTGTGGGCACCGGTGCTGCAACTCATGTATGTGTGATACAAAGTGACAAATAATCAAATACAGTATGTTGAGAGTCATTGTAACAGCTACCAGTTGGATGAATTAACACTGAAAAGTCCTCTTAAATTCTAATATTACACAGTAATACTTGTATTTAAATAATACATCAAGACAGTGCCATTTTCTTAATTCTCCTATTAAATGATACTGTAAAATCTTTGATGTCGTTGTTTATTGTGAAACCATCATGTTCAGCCCTCTTCACCTCCTTAAGTTGAAGAAAAACAGGCGCAATCTGACAAAAGTTTGAGTGATGGTTTACTCACTATAGGTGTCACACAATCTTATCATTGTTATCAACACACTGTCCTCTCTACAGGACACATCTGCCTACATATTGTCCTGAAGATTACCAGTAAACGACTGTATTATTATCTGACCAGAATAGAGAGTAGGAGTGAGCTACGTCAGATCTTAACACCTTTCTTCTGATATGAATTAAAAGAGTCAACGTCAATCTGTCCTGAAAGGCTTGGCTGGGGGTTTTTTCGGGAGTGACACGACTAGTCGTCATTAGCAAGTGTGAGATACACATTGGTTGTGGATTAAAACAGCCCAAAAGAGCCTCTGCTTTTGTTCTTTTTTGAAATGAGTTTCTTTTCCAGATCAACTTCTTTGTGAGTGTAACTTTCTGGACAGAATGAATTTGCAGTCCATGGTTGAAGAATGATTTTGGCTGATTCAGATTGTTTGTATAATGACCTAGCTAGCCAGAGCACAATCAGCGATTTCTACCAAAAAATAAGTTACAAAAATGAAATAAAAAACATATTTGCACAATGACTTTGATGGAGTAAGATAAAAAGAAAGATACAATATTATATTATTCAAGATTAAAGATGTATAGCTGATCTTGCCGATTTTGCTTTCCTATTGTGCCAAATAGGTGAATATTAATATCAAAGCTACAGTGAATAAAGATTCAATATTGTGCCACAGCAGTAAGATTTAGTTTGGTTTCATGCTGTTTATCAAACAGCATCTTAATCTGACACTAAGCTGGAGAAGCGAGGGCGAGATGCACAGTTTAGAGTTTAAA